CGGTCGTGGGGCTTGAACTCTGGGCCTGGGCACTGTCCCTCAGCTCTTCAGCTCAAGGCAAGCGCTCTACCACTTGAGCTACAGCGCCACTTCCGGTTTTTTGGTGGTTTATTGGAGATAGGAGTCTCACGGTCTTTCCTGCCCTGGCTGGCTTTGAACCGTGATCCTCAGATCTCAGCCTCCTGAGTAGCTAGGATGACAGGCGTGAGCCACCAGCGCCCGGCTGGAAGGGTTTAAACAGAGCTGTCCACGTGTAGAATAGAATCCTAAGGCCTCCCTCAGACCCAGAGCCTCCAGTGGTGCCTCCAGCCTCCCCTGGCTCAATTCCATGGAGCCTCACCTTGCAGACCCGGCTTGGGATGGGCTGCAGGCTGACCGGGCACCAGTGCAGCTCCTGGGAGTCATGCTGGTCCAGGAAGTAGCCCAGGATCTTGCCGCCCCCACGGCGCCGGGGGGGCTTCCACCCGATGACCATGTCATTCTTCCCGCAGCGCAGGAGCGCAAAGTCGCGGGGGGCCGACGGGGTGGCTGTGGAGGAGGGGGGTGAGGAGCCACGCCTCTTGGTGGTGCCACTGAGGGAGGTGGCAGCTCCCCTAGGGATGCCCGTTCTGATCCAGGTAGGGTCCCACCTGAGCCAGCGGCATCTCTCTGCCTCCCTGGGACTTCCTGAGATCCATTCAGGACTGGTCCTCCCCATGACCCCAGGACATTGTCACTTCCTCCCAGAGAAAAAGGTAGTCAGGCCAACTGTAGTTCCCCTCCTTGGGCTTTGGCCCCATTGACCCTCTAACGATGTAGCCTCTCCGCTCTGGCTCCCACCCGTCCCAGGCTGCCCTTGAGTGTCCAGTGGACCGGCCTGGGACTCACCTAGAGCCTGCTTGACCCTCACAGCTTCCGTGGGGGCTGAGCTCTCGCCTACCCCGGCCTCGCTGACCGACCGGATGCAAAACTCATACTCCTTTCCCGTGTTCAGCCCTGGAACCATGAACCTGAGAGAGGGAAATGCAAGTCTTCAGGGACCATCAAACATCTGGAGACTTCCCGAACCTTCTAGAACGATCTAGAACAACCTTGAAGGCAAGGCTTTGGGGCCAGTTCTTCCCCTAAACATGCCTCCCCTTGCTTACCCGCCCCCCCAGCAAAGCCTGAAATGGTACACTGGGAATGTCTAGGCTGGAAGGAAGGCCTGCTCCCCAGAAACCACTGTCAAGCTCAAGTGCACCAAGAGGTGCCAGTCAGAGGCCAAGGCAGCCAATCCCTGACCCGGGCTACACCGGACATCTTCAGGACTTTGGGCCTTGACTTTGAAAAAGAAGATGTGATTGTTATCTGCACAAATGCAGTTCTTTTAAAGACCCTGAAAGAACTGACCCTTTAGCTTAGGGGAAATTGTCCTCCCTCCATTTTTTTGTTTTTCTTTCTTTCTTCCTTCCTTCCTTCCTTCCTTCCTTCCTTCCTTCCTTCCTTCCTTCCTTCCTTTCTTTGTACTGGAGATCGAACCCAGGGCCTCAGGCACACGCTTGGTAAGTGCTCTACCACTTGAGCCACGTGTCCAGTTCTTTTATTTTTCTTTTGTTTTTGTGTTAGGTCTCACTAGCTTCCGTCCAAGCTAGCCTGAACTTGTAATCCTCTGCCTCTTGTGTAGCTGAGATTACAGGCATGTACCACCACAGCTGGCAGCATTGTCCTCAGTTGTAGACCTCCCCCTGTCTCCCTTCTCCTTATCTGCATCTTCCTGTGGCAAGTCTTGTGCTACCAGGGGCTCCTGCCAGCGGGCGGCCCCCTCTCTCCCCAGACAACAGCGCCTCCTAGTGTTCGCCAAAGCAGAAACCATCTTGTGGCTCCACTTCCTAGCGCTGGGACTTTGGGCAAGATACTTGAATTCTCGGTACCAAGGTTCCTTCTGGGTATCCTAAACTCAGGATTTCAGTGAGCTAGAGAACCTGTGGGGGGGCGCAGGCTGTGAATCGGTGGGCTTCATATCAGTGGCCCCCTCCTTTGTGGAGGGACATCCTGGCACAGGGTGGGGGTGAGTTGGACTTACTTGGTGTCCTGGATGGGTTTGTTGTTCACCGTGTGCCACTCAGATGAGCCTGCCTCCCGGGAGTAAATGTAATAACCCAGGAGCTCCGAGCCTCCATCCACGGGCTTCCAGGCCAGACACACAGATGTCTGCGTGTCCCGGAAAGCTTGAACTTGAGCTGGAGGAGGGAGAGTAGCTAAAAAACAGAAATGAGGGCAGAGAGAGAGAGAGGATGCCCTGTTATGGTTTGACCGGCTGCGGGTGGGAGGAGTGTGGGAAGAGGCAGGGAGGAGTCTCACCGCTGTTAGAGACAGTGCCTGCATCCCAGACCTGCCTGTGAGTTTTGAGTTTGCCTGGGCCCAGAAGTACATGGAGACTCCTGCCTGTTCTAAACGCCCTTGCTTCACCTCGGAGAGGCGCTGCTTGCTTACACCAGCACCAAAGCCCTCGCCCATTCATCTGTACAAATCAATCTCTCTCTCTCCACCTCTCCCCACCATTTAAATTAGCTTTCCTCAGTTTTAATATATTAAAAAATAAACCTTGATTTTTCTTTTTTTTTTTCATTGAAACTTCTTTCTTCACTTCTCGGCTCCCCAAGAGTAAGATTCTTGAGTTGGGGCTGCCATGCTTTCTTAGATGGATGGATAATGAATAGTTGGAAGGATGGATGGTGTTTGAGTGGATGGATAATGGATAGATGAGTGGATGAATGTATGGTTGGAAGGTTAGATGGAGGTTGGAAGGAGAGATGGTGTTTGGACAGATGGGTGGGTAAGTGAGTGAATAATGGATGGATGGTTGGAAGGATGGATGGTGTTTAAATGGATGGGTGGATGAATGAATATGGATGGATAGATGGAGGTTGGAAGGATGGATGTCCATGTTTGGATGGATGGGTAAGTGTGTGGATGGTGTATAGCCAGAAGGACAGATAGATGAATGGGTGGAGGATGATTGATTGGGTGGATGGATGGCAGGTGCCATGATCTTTCTAGTTCTTTTTGCTTATCAAACTCTTTATACATCCATTGGTGACCCTTGTCTTCCCTTTGTCCCAGATGTGGGATTTCTCCAGTCTTCTTTCTTTCAATCCACTCTATTTTTCTGTTATCCCTAAAGGTCCTGCCTAACTCACGCCTTCAACTCACACCTCTCTGCAGGCATTACCTGAGGTCCTGCCTTCTCTCCCCCAAATTCTAGAGCCTTCCTTTCCTTTCCCTTTGGATACCTCTTTTGTGTTCTAGTGGTTCAGAGTTCAGAGTTGATAAGGAAAGGGCTGAATGCAGCGTCTATCCAACATAAACACAGTATTCACTAAAGCCTGCTCTGAGCCAGACATTGTCTTGGCCCAAGATATACAAACTGAGAAATGGATTTGATGTCTTGAGCTCAGGAGGGTCCTGTCACTGAGACTGGCCCCTGAGTTTGAGGAATGCAGTGGAAAGGACAGCTATGTGGAAGGGAGAGGCTGGTGGGGGGGAGGCCCTTCAGGGAGCTCATGGGCCCAGGGGACTGGCTTCTACATCGGGCAAAGAACTTGAGCAGAGAGGAGCTATGGCAAATAGTGGCCCAAAGATCTGGAAATGACGAATTTCAGAAGAGTTCATGCCCTGGGGGAATGTTTGCAAGACAGTGCTAATGTTTACAGGTAGAAGTCAAAGCTCTACTGATGGCCTGAACATACATTGCGAAAGGCACATGGATGTATGGAGGCAGAAACAGGAGGCCAGGTGCTCAGCATGGTGTCCCTGGTGGGAGGAATCAGGGGAGCTGCTCAGTGACCGTTAGAAATGAAGGCCTCTTAGGCACACTGAGCTCCTGGGCTGGGCTCAGGTGGTGTCACCTATGAGCTGTTGATCTGGGAATAACGGGCATACATCCCTGAGCTCACTTTCCAGAAAAATAGTATGATTATCTTTTTGTTGTTGTTGTTTGGTGCCAGTCCTGGGGCTTGAACTCAGAGCCTGAGCACTGTCCCTGACTTTGATGCTCAAGGCTAGCGCTCTGCCACTTGAGCTTCATTCCTAGAATGTTTTTGGTGTTTTCCAGGCTGGCTTTGAACCATCATCCTCAGACCTCAGCCTCCTGAGCAGTTAGGATTACAGGCGTGAGCCACTGGCATCCAGCTAAGAAATACGATTTCGGATGCCATATATCTTGCTGCTTTTCAGCTTCATGACTGGTAGAAGGAATCAAGATAAGGAAGAGGGCTTGCCCCCTCCCCAACAACCTGGGATGACAACTTGGCCCAAGCCGCTTCCTGCCCCAGTCCCCACATTGCCTGGTACCTGGCCCGCCCTTCAGGGAGACGGGATCGCTGGGCTCCGAGGGGTCGCTCATGCCATACTGGTTCACAGCTCGCACTCTGAAGACATACGACTTCCCCTTCTCCAGGTCCAGAAGGGCGAACCGTGGCGACTTCACAGGGGTTTCTGGGCTGATGGCTTCCCAGGTGCCGCTGCCTATGACTGACTGCAAGAAGATAGTGGGATGGAAGGAACTAAGGGCTCAGAGAAGTTGGGAAACTGGCTTGGGATCACACAGCAGAAGCAGGATTCGAACTTACCGTGTGTGTGTGTGTGTGTGTGTGTGTGTGTGTGTGTGTGTGTGTACGTGTACGTGTGTACTGGTCCTGGAGCTTGAACTCAGGGCATTGTGCTCTCTAGGATGGGACTCTACCACTTGAGCCATAGTTCTACTTCTGTCTTTTTGGCAATTGGAGTCTCATGACTCTCCTACCTGGGCTGAGTATCAGGATTATAGGTGTATATCACTAGTGCCCAACTTGAGCCAGTTGAAACTTGAACCCACACTTTCTTCTACTCTGCCTTTGCTCCTTGCCCTGGATCCATGGTACAGGGCCCCAACTCCATCACAGTCACCCCTTTGAGAGCCCCTTCCTAGTTCTGGACATGTCCTATGACTCCAATCGGCCTCCCAAACAGGCCCTGAGCCACTGTGAGACCTGACACCCTCGCCTTGGGCAGGGGGTACTCCACAGCACCTCTCCACGTTGTGCATTTTCTTTCTTTCTTTCTTTTTTTTTTTTGTCAGTTGTGGGGCTTGAACTCTGGGCCTGGGTGCTGTCCCTGAGCTCTTCAGCTGAAGGCAAGCGCTCTACCACTTGAGCCACAGCACCACTTCCGGTTTTCTAGTGGTTTATTGGAGATAGGAGTCTCACAGTCTTCCTGCCCGGGCTGGCTTTGAACCGCGATCCTCAGATCTCAGCCTCCTGAGTAGCTAGGATTACAGGCATGAGCCACTGGCGCCCGGCCATGCTGTGCATTTTCTTTTCTTTTTTTTTTGGGGGGGGGTCCAGTCGTGGGGCCTGAACTCGGCCTGGGTGCTGACCCTCAGCTCTTCAGCTCAAGGCTAGCGCTCTACCACTTGAGCCACAGTGCCACTTCTGGCTTTTTTTCTTTTTGCTTATGTGGTGCTGAGGAATCGAACCCAGGGCCTCAGGCATGCAAGGCAAGCGCTCTACCACTGACCCACCTTCCCAGTCCCCATGCTGTGCATTTTCTATCAAGACTTGGGGACTGCCATCCAGATATGACAGGACTTGGGCTGTGGGCGTGGCTTGGTGGTAGAGGGCCTGGCTCTCAGGTTGGAAGTCACCACACCAAAGGTCATTTTATCCTTCCACCTGCCTCTGGGTGGAGCCACTGCTCAGGCCCTTCCAGGAATGCCCTCTTCTCTGGAGGCCTCCAGGGGGCTTCTCAGCACCCTGGCTCCCAGGTATTTCTGAGGATCCCTCAGGGTTCTGGTACCTTCTCCAGGGAGTACGTCAGTGGGGCTTTGCCACGGGGCCTCGGCTCCTCCCAGCTCAGAACCGCATAGGCCTCTCGGATCTCACTGGCGTGGACATTGGTCGGGGGTGAGGGGATGGTCACGGCATCTGGAACCAGTCACCAGGGCTGAGGTGGGTGGGTGGGTCCTCGGGACCCCTGATCTCAGCCCTGTGTTCCACAGAGGAGGGCCTGGAGCAGGGCAGGGACTCACCCCAGGGTATACAGCAGCAAGGCCAGGCTGAGCTGGGACCAGAGCTCTGCTCCCTGGACGCTCAACTGAGGTTTTCCTTGCTGGCCACCTTCTCCACAAACCCCACAGCCAGACGGTCATGGTGACCCCAACACCCGGTGACCCTCACCTCCCCACACCTGGAGCATGGGCCGCTTCTCTGCTTGTCTGCCTGTGCCCTCCAGTTCTAGAGCTGTGAAGGGGCTGGTGTGGAAGGGAGGCGTTGGGTCCCACTTACCTTCGAAGTCCTCTGTGCTGACGGTGATCTTGCTGCCCAGGTCAAAGGGGATTTCTGGGGGGATAGGAGGGGTGCAGGGGGTTCAGTGTCCTGCCCCACCAGCCCTGGCCCTGCCCTCTTGCCCTGTGGCTTCAGGCAGGTGGCCTCTGGCCCAGCTTTCTGGGGAGTACAAAGCGGGGCTCCGCTGCTCTCAAGTCCTGAGAGAGGCTCTCTCTGTTGGAGCAGACGAGGACAGAGAGGAAGAACCATGTCCATGTGTATAACGGAGTTGGGGCCAACCCAAGCTCCCTAAAAGTGCTGTGTTTCCACAGTTCTCTGTGAGGTGTTAGTGATCTCCATCAGGCTAGGGGTTCCTAGGACAGGACGGTGCCTCCTCCATCAGGCGATGACCTCCTGGGGGCTGGGTTATGTTTCTTAGGGCTTCCTAAGGGTTGGGGTATGAGTCCCCACCCCCCCTCCTTAGAATGGGGTCCAGCTACCTGTCTTCTGAGTGAGGTGGTTCTGAGCATGCTCAGACTGCCTGTCTCTTCAGGGCCTCTGCTCTCACCTGTCCTGCCCTGGAGAGTGTCAGGGGCACACGTGACCACGGCTTCGGAGGCTTTGGAGGGGAGGCTGCTGCCGGCCCTGCTGACCGCCCTCACACGGAATCGGTAGCGCTGGCCTTCCACGAGGCCTTGGATTGGACACCGACAGGTCCCCCCGGGGGCCTCATGGCAGGACAGCCACTCTTCAGTGTCACCCTGGCACCTGTGAGAGACAGGCCCTGGTGGTCAGCCCCGCCCATGCTTCGTGCCTTCCCAGTCTGAGCTCTGTAGGGCCACTGCCTGCCCAGCTAATTAAAGTCGGCCAATTCAAAGCCTGTCCTGTCCCGTGGAGAGGCGTGGCTTCCCACTGCCCACCGCCACAAGGCTCAGAACAGCCGGTACCTCCCTTGGAACTTGCAGGGCCATGGAGCCCAGGCACGCCCCCCCTTTCCTGTGACCACCCCTCAGGTCCCCACGGCCACACAGCATTCTATCCTGAGGGCTCTGCCACCCCGGAGCCAGACTCACAGCTCGATGGTGTAGCTGGTGATAGGGCTGCCCCGCGTGTCGCTGGGCGGGGTCCAGGTCAGTAGGAGGCAGTCTCGGTTCACATCCAGGCACTGGACATTGAGCGGGGAGCCTGGGGCTCCCGGCTTCTCAGCTGCAGCGTCTGAAACCCAGGATGGGGTGGGAGGATATTCCTCAGCCTGGAGCTGCTGGGGAACCTGGCTCCCCCTCCCCCTCAGCTTCTGCCCAATATTCCCCGCCCCTCCCAGCCCTCTTGGAGGATGAGGGACTCAACTTGACCTCAAGTACTAGGGCCTGATTAATAGCCATACACCTGCCTCCCAACAGAAAAAGTTTGGGGATTCTATTCATTTGGGCCCCATTTTATACCAAGCACCTAAAGAGCCCCAGAGCAATCTCCACTTTGTAGATGGGGAAACTGAGTCACAGAGGTAAAGCAATGTGTTCAAAGTCACCCAGCTTAGTGAAGCCATCAAACCAAGATTAGAACACGGATGGGTTCAGAGGCCAAGAGGCAGGACTAAGAATGTGGCTTAGTGGTAGAGTGCTTGCCTAGCATGCATGAAGCCTTGAGTTCAATAAGCCGGAAGTGGTGCTGTGACTCAAGTGGTAGAGTGCTAGCCTTGAGCAAAAGAAGCTCAGGGACAGCACCCAGGCCCTGAGTTCAAATCCCAGAACTGGCAAAAAAAAAAAAAAAAAAGGCCAAGAGGCAGAATTTACCCAATGACCAGAGTCCTTCAGCCCCTACAGGTGGCCTTCCATTCCCTTGGGACTTGTCCTTTGGGGGTGTTATGGGAGTCTTTAGAGAGACTCTTACCCACAATCTCATCTGATAGCTGAGGACAGATCCGGAGGGTAGGAGGCCCCACAGAAAGCACCGCCCTCCCCTCCCTACACCCTCCCTCACCTCTCACAAACACATAGGTGCTCTGCTCCTGGTTCCCAGAGGGCGTGGCCACGCGCACCCTGTAGAACCCCTCGTCCTCCTTATAGGCCCAGGACACCTTCAGGGACGCCTGGCGGTCTGCGTAGAGGATTTGCCGAAGAGCGGAGGACCTCAACAACCGGCCTGTGCAGGGCGGGAGGGGGTTCAGTGTGGTTTGTGGATGATCTTGGCTGCATCTGGAGTTCTGCTCTGGACACGGAGAGGGCTGCTATGGCTGCCACCTGGGGCTCAGCGTGGACCCAGACCAGGTGGGGTGGGGTGGGGGCTTCCTGGGTAACTCTTCTGGGAGAAAGCTGGAGGAAGGGACAGGCCTGGGGAAGGGGGGTCGGCCTGAAGGGGGGAGAGAGGGTTTAGGGAAATGGTTGGTGAGGTGAGAAACTGGGGGTTCATTGAGGAAGACTGATGGGGTCCTGTGTGAGGTCCCAGAGCTCATGGTAGACCAGGGGTTCCGTAAGGAGGCTTGGGGTTCAGAAGGAGGAGGAGAGAAACTAAGTGTGGGGGGGGTCAGTAAGGGGCTAGAATCTTGTTGAGAGAGTCAGGGGGTCTCAGTGAGGCCTGGCTGAGAGGGCAGTTGAGAAACTGAGGTCCCTGGGGTGGGACATTGGTGTGCGCCACCCCAGAGCTGTCCATTCTGTCCGTCCCACCCCGACGCTCCTCCTCCTGTCAGCACTTAATTCTGGACGATCTACAGGTCTGGGGAGACATCTCAGCCTGGTCACTGCAGCTATTTCTCAGGCTCCTGTTGACCTCTTGTGCCACTGCCTGCCCCCAGCAGGTGCAGCCACCCGCTGGGGAGGCGGGGGGAGGTGGGTAGGTGGGAGGAGTTGTACTCCTTGTCTTTTGGCTGCAGGCCTGGTCACCACGGATAGAGCCGGACCAGCCATCCTTCTCCTTGGCCAGGCCACCTCTTCTTGCCTTCGCTGTGTGTCCCGCACCAGCCCTTTCCTGTGACATCCCTTGGATCCTCTAGGCAGTTCTTTACCTTGTCTTCCTGCTAGCTGAGTCTGAGAAACTCCTGCGTTAGCCACAGGGCCCGTGTGGCCAGGTGTGCTGGCCTGCCTTGCAGCCTCGGCCTCGGGTTCAACACTGTCATCAGTGTGGCCACTGCGGCCTGAACAGACCCTCCCCTGGTGGTGGCCACAATCGTGCTGGGAGCTGTCTCTGTCCCCTCTAGGTTATGCCCTGGCTGGGCCTGGCCCGAGTCCAATGCTCGGTGTCCTGTGGTTGTTTGGTGACCTCCTTTGGGTGGGCTCCATGTCTTTCCTAGGGGCTCTGGTCCCTCCCTGGCTTGGAGTTGCGCTTTAAAGGGCGGTGGTTTTGAAGGCCGGGGCCAAGGCCAGCATCCTCACCATCTCGGAGCCACTGGATGCTTGTCTCCGCGTCTGACACATCCTCGGAGAACAAACAGGACAGGCAGAAGGGCTCCTTCTCTCGGGCGAAGACGGGCTTCAGCACTGATGTGAATTCCACCGTGGGGCCAAACATAGATCCTGGGGTAGGGACAGAAATTCAGGGTCGAAGCCTGAGACTCCAGCCTGGGCCTCCCCTGAGGCCTCCCCATAGGGCAAGACTGGCAATTCCCAAAGGGGTTTTTGGACCAGGAAAGGGCATCCAGGCCTTGGGAGGGAGGGGGAAGAGCTCATCCAGGTGTAAACCACAGAAGCCCCAAAGGGGGACTGCCCGAAGGTCAAGCCCATTGTCCCTTTGGTTCTGTCCTCCTAGCCCAGTTCTGTTCCAACGACACCCAATGGCTGGTGCAGCTCAGGCGTAAGTCTGCAAGTCAGCAGCCCACAAGTGATGTCCCTAAGTGGACAGCACCTCATGACACCATCTGGGAAGGGCTATGGGGCCGGAGCTGCCTAGGGGCCCTCGGGCCCATTCCTCCCCTGCCCACTTACTTTTAAAGATCTCTGAATCGAAACCCGCATCCTTCCCCAGGTAAGCTGAAAATCCAAAGCAAGTGGAGTTAGTGAAGGCTCAGCACCAGCCCTTCTACTAGATTTGGGGGCACAGAGCCTTGGGTATGGGTTAAGTTCTGGTCTATCCATGACTTCAATGAACAAAGCCCTCAGCCAGAGCCTGATAGATAGTAGGTGCTCAATAAGTGCTTTTTTTCTTCCTTCGTCCCAGCTCACCACCAGGATCACATACTATTTTCCCAGCCTGGTCAGAGACTCTGGGTTTGCTGATGGGATCAGCCACCAAAGCTGTCTGATAGCTTACAGGAGGCGAGAACAGGAGCCCCGGGCACAGGTAAGAACAGCTGTCACATAGAGTGCTTACCTTGCACTGCAGTACCATAGGTAACTTTTCATATTGATGGGGAAACTGAGGCAGAGTCACCCAGCTAAACCCAGGGAATGGTTCTTCCGGAGCAAGGTTCTGAAGGGTCAGGAAGCAGCCCTGGGCAGCACCCCAGCAGTGGAGCTCCAACCAGCCCCGTGGTTGCCATGGAGATACGATTAGATGGGGATGGGCGTGGTACTGAGTGATGCTGAAGACAGGGGGTCTGCTAGAGGGAGGATGGCTGACTGGTCCATGGAGCACTGGCTCTGATGGTGGGAAGGATGGGGGTTGGGATGAAGGGAGGGAAGGATGGATGGACAGAGCGTTGCAGGGCATGATGTCTGACCTTGGGCTTGGCTCTGGCACAGAGCTCTGGGGCAGCTCAAATTTTGACATCAAGAACCTGGCCTGGCTGTGAGGACAGTTGCCTCTCAAGAGCTATTTGGGGAACAGAGCAGAGTTTAACAAGGGCCATCGGAGGTAGGGAGGGTGGGGCTGGAGTGCAGCCAGGCCGGAGAGGGAGAAAGAGAGAGAAACATTCTCTGCCCAGTCCTGGCCTTCGAGTTGGGTATGGGGAGTTATCTTCTCCAAGGGCCTGCTACACACCAAGCTTTCTCTTTATCTCATTTAATTAGCACCCAGCAGTATAGCAGGCTCACCACCTGTACAGATGAGGAACCCAGAGTTCAGAAAGTTGGGATGCCCTGCTCAGGCTCACGCAGCCAGCTGGAGCAGAGCCAGGCCTGGCTGATGGCCGCGTCTCCGCCTGCTGTGGGCTGTGATTTCAGATGCCCACAGGGATACTTCAGGAGTTCCATACACACCAGAAGGCAAGAGGGCAGTGGAGCAACTGATGAGTGGGGAACGCATGGCCTTTGTCCCTGGGGGCCCTCAGCTGGGTGTAGAGTCACACCCGAGGGGTATGTTCATGGGGACAGTCCCCAAGGTCGCCTTGGATAGTTGTCTAGGTTGTGGCCTGCATAGGGGTGTCTGTGGGGAGCGGGAGGGGGCTGCATCCACTAAGAGGAAAGTCCCCTCTTTCTGATCCATTGACCCCCGTTCACCCAAACGTAGGCACACGATCCATGCCTGTCATGCCCCTGCAGACAGAGCGGTGCTCTCATCCAGCTCGGCGTGGAGTGACACGGAGCAATTGCTCAGGAAAGGCCAGTCCTCTCCTCTCTGTTCCTGGTTGTTTTGGACTCCATCTCTAGGCAGTGGTTCCCGCCTCCCTCTGCCGGCTCTGCTGCCCAGGCTAGTCTGATGGAGGAGACTCTCACTTGTTCCAAAGGCTTTCAGAGGAGCAAGAGTCTCTATGGCCATCCTGGTCCCCTATCTCAGCCCAGACCCCCTGAGCTGGGTCCTTCCTTGCCTCTGAACACAGACTCAAGTCCTCACCTGGCTGTCATGAGTGTGCTGTGGCCAGGTCTGGCCTGCTGGGTGCGGGTACACTTACTGCGGACCAGGACTTTGGCAAAGGAGGAGGCCTGGCCGTAGGCATTCTTCACCTTCACGGTGTAGGTGGCTGAGTCCTCCAGGGTGCATCTGGAAAGGACAGAGGGAGCTGTCCTCCCAAGGCGCTGGGTGGCATGGGAAACCCAGACGCCCCCTGTGTGTGGGAATGGCTGGGCAGAAAGGCAGCTTCCTGGTACAAGGGGGAGAGCCTGGGTACTAGCCCGGAAAAGCCCTGTATCTTTTTTTCTTTTTGTCAGTTGTGGGGCTTGAACTCTGGGCCTGGGCGCTGTCCTTCAGCTCTTCAGCTCAAGGCTAGCACTCTACCACTTGAGCCACAGCGCCACTTCCGGCTTTCTGGTGGTTAATTGGAGATAAGAGTCTCATGGACTTTCCTGTCCAGGCTGGCTTTGAACCACGATCCTCAGATCTCAGCCTCCTGAGTAGCTGGGATTACAGGCGTGAGCTGCCGGTGCCCGGTTTAAAGCCCTGTATCTTTAGAGAACTCTGCTTTGAGATCCTCTGGCGGAAAAATAATGCAAGATATAACAGCAGCCTAAACCATCTGGGGTGGGGGAGGGAAGTGCTTTGAGAATATCATGTCCCACCTGGCATTATTATTAGGGATTCTAGAGGATCACAGAGGTGAAGCAACTCGCCCAGAATCACACAGCAACTAGAATTCAATCCAGCTTCAAGGTGACAAGCCCCTTCCCACTGTTTGGTGTCAGAATTCATCCATCCTCCTCTCCTTCCCCCCCCCCCGCCCCCCAGCTTCCTCCTCTTTCTCTTCCTCACACAAGACTTGACTTGCCAGGGCATACTGCTAGTCTAGGCCAGAGCCAGGCCTCATGCCCAGGTGTTAGGCTCAGGCCTGGGTCTCACCACAAGCCTGACCACTCCGTTATGTGCCTAGTGGAAGTTCTGGCCGGCTCCCTTCCCAAGCCATCTTGGTGATAAACAGTGCAGTGGTAGGAGGTGCCCATTTGGCTGTCTGGTCACATGGTGGGGGAGGGGGCTTCTTGCTCCTCGGCCACCTCCCCCTCCCCCTCGAGGCTCCCCAACCCCATTTGTTCTCCCTGACTGAACACCTCCTTGCACTAGCCTCCTGTGCTAGGGTGTTTATGTCCACCTGCCCCAAATCCTGCTCAAATCTGAGGCTTGTGTCAGTTGGAGTGATAGAAAATTCCAGACACAGCCCTAGCCAAGTCTAGGCTCCACTCCACACTAGCTATGCCACTTCACTGAATGTTTGATTCATCAAACATTGCGGGGTGATGCCGGAGATCCAACTCAGGCAGGTGCTCTGCCACTGAGCTACAGCCCTGGTCCCAAACCTGTTTCTACTACAGGGCATTCACTCAGCCCCACACCCATCCCTTCTTCTCCTCTCATCTCCATGGCAACCACAGGGCTCTATGCACAAGGCCCTGGTTTCCTTCTGGCTGTAAGGCACCTGGCACAGGGTTTGGCCCCAGGGAGAAACAAGGGGGAAGGATTGTGCTGTACCTTCCCCTGTGGCCTCTCCACACTCTCCTCTTCCTTCCAAATCCCCACCAAGACTCAGACCATCTCCTGAAAGAGAGAACTGTCCCCGCCACCAGCTTCCCTTGTGTGTGTGGGTACATGCATGTACTCACCGTGCACATAAGTGTGTGGCTCTTCTCTTTCCCAGCATGCCTTGCTCAGCATTCTGTCCTTCCTGCTAGTCTGAGTTCCAATTTCTAATCATGTATTTCAAGGCTCTCTCTCTGTGTGTATGTGTGTGTGTGTGTGTGTGTGTGTGTAACAGCATTTCCTGGGTCCCACTCAGATTCACTTAAGGGAATAGCTTGGAGGAAGGGCGGAAGAGTTCAGGGTCCACTCTGGCCTGGGGGTGCTGGCCTGGTGGTCCTGATTCCCTTCTGCTTCCCAGTCTCACCTCCTAATCTCCAGTGTCAGCAGTCCATAGTTGTTGATGATCCGGAACTTTCCAGGGGGGAAGAGGCGAAGGTCGATCCGCACATCATCCTTGTACCTGTGGAGACACACGGCTGTGGCGGTCAGCGGCTGAGCAGGAAGGGTGTGGAGTGTTGGGCCTGGATTCCAGCCTCAGCTTGCCTGCTCTTCCCCAGGCTGGAGCCCACTAAGCACTGTCAACAGCACGCAGGGTGGGCGCCATCTGGCTGCTATGCTGACTCGATTTGCATGTTGCCCCTGTCCAGAGGCAGCCTGGGACCCCACCCTGCAGCTGGAGACCATGGAAGGGAGTCTCAGAAAGTGACTTTGAGAGTATGTCTCTGGCCCAGTGGTGGAGGCTGGAGAGCTGGGTGTACCTTCCATTGCCAATAGAGGGTGCTCCAGCGTCAGGGCGCTTCCATCCTTGGATCTGGATCTTTCTGCTCCCTGTTTGTCTCCAGGGTTACCAAACAGGGCCACACCCACACAGCCCAAGGGGCACTCTGAGTTGCTTGTGGGGAGAGCAGTGCCCCAAATGGGCACTCCATCTTTCCAGCTCACCTAGGTCTGGGGAGGGGCAGGGATAGGGCCCTCATCCTACACCTGTCAAGAACATTCCAGACACCCCAGGCTGGCCTGGGCGGGACCTCCCACGGAGCCTCCAGCCTCATCCTGCCCTGGTCTCTGGGCCTCAGCTCCTGTCTGCGGTCAGCCCATATGTGGCTGGAAAGTCCTGAGCACATCCCGTAATAGAACATTCAAGAAGACAACTGGAGTGGTTGGGAAGGGGTGGAACCTGGCTCAGAGAGGCCCTATAAAAATCACGGAAGGGAGGTTTTAAGATTATTTAGCTAAATTTATCTAAGTCTACCCCTCACCTCCTTGCATATATTTTTGATATTTATTTTTGTGCCAGTCCTAGGGCTTGAACTCGGGGCCTGGGCTGTGTCCCTGAGCATTTTTTTGTTTTTTGTTTTTTGCTCAAGGCTGGGGCTCTACCACTTAAGCCACAGCTCCACTTCTGGCTTTTTTGTAGTTTATTGGAGATTAGAGTCATAGGGAGTTTCCTTCCCAGGCTGCCTTTGATCCACAATCCTCAGATTGCAGCTTCCTGATTAGTTTTAGGATTATAAGGTGAGCCACTAGTGCCCGATGATGTTATACTTTTTATTTTTTAAGGGTGGTTGGCTGAGAGGTAGCTTCTAATAGGTGTCAGTTAGATTTGTGGCCATTTATGTGGCTACACAGTGACCCTCCCTTGTGAGGCCTGTGGCTGGGCGGAGCCCCTGCAGACTGGGATTTCTTACAGACCAATTTTCCAGGGGCCACCTTGGATGTGCCTGGGAAACTTTACCTTGCTTCTGACCCTGGACCAGGCATGGGTGCTACCACCTCCTTCCATCCAGCTGGGCCCCAACTCTGAGCCTCTCTCTGGGTCCCTCTCAGTGTCTCCAATCCCCAGTGATCCAGCCAAGCACTTCCACTTCGCCTAGCTGCAGTGAGGTCTATGTGCTGAGAGGACTGCATCCAGTAAGTGCTCAATAGTTGCTACCTGAGCACACTCAGTTTGGGAAGCTGGGATCTTCCTCTGGACCTAGTGCTTCATCTCTATCTGGAATCCAAACCCAGGACTCTGCCCTGCTGCAGGTGGTGGTAGGAAGCCAGTCCCAAGCTGGGGAGCAGGGTGCTACCTGAGTAGCTGGGGTTGGAGGGGCCTGGCCTTGGCTTCCCCCTGCTTCAGGAACGCTTGGCTTCATTGACGGGACCTCGTCGATGTTGGCAGGGGTGAGAACCAGTGCCCCTCCCAGGAGACTTCCATGAGTGATTTAGATGTGGGTGTCTGTGCCAGGGCTGGCTGGGCTTGGCCGCAGGGCTGGACAGCTGAGCCTTTGACTCCCACTTAGCCCTGGCTCGTGTTGGAAGTTGTCTTCCCATTGGGCCATTTATATGTAGGGACTGCCTTGGTTCCCATGGAAACCCAGAGCCCTACATGGTGCCAGGCTCCCTACATGGTGCCAGGCTCACTTCCGTGAACAAACACCAGCGCCAGTCACTTTCTGCTCTTTGGGCCAGTGAAGCGCTGTGGGCTTGGAGGCAGGAACCCTGAGTTTAAATCCTGGTTCCCATGGGCTGGTG